ACCTCTGCCTTTACACCATGGTGTTACCATATTTTTCTGGTGTTCTAGATATACATACATATGCATAAGTACATTTGGTAAAAGGTGCAATGAAAAGAAGAATAGGCATAAAGAGTTTCAATTAATTTGTATTCCCAATGGCAGTAATTATCTCACACTTTGACCTCTCTACTTATTTTCTCAAGAAATTTCTTATGCAAATTAGCAGCTTCTTTATCATCTACAGTTGCTACCATTCTCGAATGAAGCTTAACCATCTCTTTGGAAGGATCTAAGGTTGCAGCCACACGGCTCCCCCTTTGCTGCAACAACAGTTTTGATGTCATAAGATATAGAAGACTGTCATGCTTCAAAGCTGCTCTGTGATCTCTCTTGATAAGCTTAGCTGACTAAAAATTCTTTCTACGGAAGCATTAGAGAATGGGAAGGAAAAAAGCACAGATAATACTTTAGACAAGTTAGGATACATCTGGTTTCTACAGCATTTTTTTGCCTGAAGATGAGGAGCCAATAATCTTGACTGCTCATATCACTAGCAACATTAGGGTACATACAGCATGCTGCCTCCATTCATTGTCCAAAGTTTGCATAACAACAATGATTATAAGATATGGCATTTGTTTTAATATATGCAGCAAAGATGGCACTTTCATGTTGCATGCAGTGGAAGGAGACAGACATTCAAGAAAGTCAAACTTTTCAAGATCATGAACCTCAAATGAATCTGCTGCACACATTCAATTAGGACTTCCCTGCAATGAGTGAGAAACATTTGTTTGGTTATACTGTTCAAAGTATCTGTTGCTGCAATGCCAATGTAAACTTTGCTCAGAGGAACATAGTGCTGCTCTTGCTTAGGAACAATTTTATCAATATCAGTGTCTCTAAGATATGAGTACTGCATGAAATCTGTGCTCAATGCTGATATCAGACCTGAAGGTTCCAAGTGTTCCCTGAAGAAGGCAGTGATGGGTAGGGAAACACCGGGTAACACTGAAGTCCATTTATTAACGGATAGGAGAAATACAAGTGGTGACTAGCGTGTGACTTGCACGACCCACAGAGTCAGACTGAGACTGCCTTGCCATATGGCAGCCTCGGGGCAATGTTGCCACATAACACGTGCAGTGATGCCACGTAATTACATATATAAATGCTACTCGGCACAGTAGCCTATTTACAAGGTTGCTACTCGGCACAGTAGCATAGATACATAACCTACAAGACCAGACACTTCTTTTTTAAGTAAGTGCAACAATAGAATGTCACTTTGAAAGAATAAGTTGAATGAAACCAGTCTACCAAGGTTAAAGAACATGAATTCAAGGTAAGTTCTGGTAAATTTGTTAATGAGCTTTCTCAAAATGCTGTCATTTGTGTGTGTGGGATCCTCAAATGCAGCATTCTGAAAATAAAGCTGTAATGCATCATATTACTCTAATATCCTGTCAACACAAGCCTTCATTGACAGCCAGCGAGTGAGTCCAGCTCTCACGATTTGATGCCCATCAATATCTAGAAAGTCCTGGAATTCTTTCAGTGCATCACGCCTCTGTGAAGATACATGGAAATGTGAATAAATATTTCTGCAAAGATCCTCTAATGATTTTGGAAGCTTCAATGATGCATACGAAGAGCACAAGTTAATCAAGTGACAAGAACATTTTACTGGCAGTATCCATGGGTAATTGCTCACCAGCAGTTGTACACCGAATGGTTCTTCCCAAACAGAAACCAATGACATTTTGCATAATTAGGTATACTCTTCTTACTTAAACACACAAGAATTTTATTGTAGATAGTACTAGCTTTACCATCTGGCATTTCAATCAAGTCAATTAACACATAACTGGATTTGTATTCCACCTGATCAAAGTATGTTCCAATTAGTGCAAACTGAGATTTTGTTGACTGATCAGTGGTCTCATCTATAATGAGGGAAAATTGGTGATCTCTTAGTTTAAGAAATCCATCTTTAATGGCATGAAACCCTAAGGCCTGACGTAGTGTGTTTGTTGCTTTTTGTTTTCCAAGGGTAACTTTTTTCAAGGCATCATCAGCAGGGAATAAGCTCTTAAGGAGAGGAAGCAGGTCTTCACTTAGGCTAATGGGCAAATTATTTTCAGCTAAAAATGTACACAGTTTTATTTCCATTTTAGCAACCCTACTTGATGAGGACCCCATGAAACTTGAAATATTAGGCGAGGTTTTCTCTAGGTTGATAATTCTTTTAATTTCTGTTTGGTGGGTCTTTGTTTTACCATGTCTTATCAATGCAGTTTTATCACAAGATAATTTTGATTTACATACTTTGCAATATGGGACAGTTTTCTCACCATCTTCTTTCTTAGTCAACCAATCTTTGAATAACTCATCTTGGAGCCAGGAGTCCCGAAAATCCTGACCATACCACTTTCTTTTAGTTCCTTTCTCCTCTCCTTTCTTCCTCTCTTGGGCAGTATCTGTACTACTTTCAGCTTCCATAACTAACAACTGGATCTGCACTCTGCCTCAAGGATACCCTTCTGCCTCGTCACCTGTAGCCTAGGTATAAATATATGGGTCTAAGGAGAACTGTACAGCACATTGCACAAAAAGGAAACTCATACAAGTCACACAGTACCCTACATTCAAAATATAACAATTACAGTTCCTTATTTCTCATCATAAACCACCAACATCTAATTATTATTCGACCTACATAATCCAAACATATTCATTATATCATTGATCAACCATGGCAATACAAAAAATATTGTCAAAACATAATTAAGATAAAATATCTAACTTACATTTTCCCCACCACATTCAAAACAAGCCATGGAGCTCACTCAGCTGATGAGCTGATGAGCGGTCCCTTACCCATTTTCTTTCATTCCAGTGTGGGAGACTTAACTAGTATGGTTATCTTTGACACTTCACAAGACAAAATCATCTTCACATACAAAGCTGATTTTCCTTAAAATTCCTTAGATTTTACAAATTCCTGAGAAAATTCCTTATCATGCTTTACTAGACCAGAAATTTCTTAAAATCAGGAAAATTCCTTAAAAGTGGAAGCACTGCTCAGCCAGCGTCTCTGCCCAAGGGGTCCGCCTAGCCTAGTGACGTCATCTTTAGCAATCTAAATAGCTTCTTTGGTTAGTTTCTTTACTAAATCCCCTAGTTGGTAACATTTCTAATTCTAATATAAAGAATAATATGGATCTTTTTGATAAACTCAATAACTTACACATTAATTATGATTTTAAACTGGTCAGTTGTGATGTAACATCACTCTTTACAAAGGTCCCAGTTGATGATTTACTGGAGTTCCTCATAGATTCCCTGGATAATATTTAATTGCCCGTCTCGCAAGATGACTTCATGGAGAATATTATGCTCAAAAATTTGGTATGGCAATGGAGAATCCACTCTCACCTGTATTAAGCAACCTATATATGAAATTCTTTGAAAAGAAACTATTAAGTAATATTTTACCACCTTCAGCAGTCTGGTTTAGATATGTAGATGATGTATTATGTCTCTGGCCAAGTAATGAAGACCTAAAAGTTTTCCTGCCACAACTTAATAACTTAGCCCCCTCGATCAAATTCACTGTGGAATTAGAGCATGACTGTAAATTGCCATTCCTAGACTGTCTCATACACAGAATAGGTAACACCTTTAAGCTCAGTATTTATAGAAAACCTACTAATGTGTGTTCATATATTCATTATTATTCTGCCCACCATAATAGAGTCAAACAGTCAGTATTTTCAACAATGTTTTTACGTGCTTTGAGAATTTGCAGCCCGGAATTCATTGATGAGGAATATAAATATATCTATAATAATGGCTCAAACCTTAAATACCCTAGTTCTTTCATAGATAAATGCCTAAACATTACTAAGAAATATTTTTATAGAACTGATCCCGCGCCCACCCATGACCATAAGAATCTCTTAGTATTACCATTTCACAAAAATTTATCTCAAATTCCTTTACAACTAAAAATCTGGAACGTCAATGTGGCATTTAAAAACTCATGCACTGTTAAACAAATGTTAATCAAGAACTCCCTCAAAAACACAATTGGTTGCATTTATATAGTTCCTTGCAAGGAATGTAATATGTTTTACTTAGGCCAGACAGGTAAAGATCTTGTAACTAGACTTAAACAACATAAATATAGTGTTAGGACAGGCCAGGAATCCAATGCTCTGTTTGTTCATTTGAGGGATAGCAAGCATTGCATTGACTGGGATAATGCCTTCTCAATATTACCTTGTAATTCAATTGACAGTAGGAGCATTATAGAATCTAGTCTCATTAAACACACCGAAGCAGTCACATTGAATTTGAGTAATGGCATGTACAAACTGGACAATTTTGTAATTAAGAAGATTTGTGACTAGGTGAGAAGGCCGGGTCACCTGACCATCTGACCTGACCACCAACCGTTGTGTGCTATTTAAAGATTAGTAGGGTCATTACCTAATACCTGACCATTGTGGACCTGGTCTCACCCTCCTCTGTATATATTCACCTTGATTTGTATTTCTCTCTCTAGTCTGTACTCACCCCTGAAGATGTGAATTACACGAAAGCGCTTGGGAACTTCGTGTTTTCTTCTTTCCTTGTGGTTATCAGCATATATATATATATATATATATATATATATATATATATATATATATATATATATATATATATATATATATATATATATATATATATATATATATATCACAATAAGATAACTGAAAATTTTAGAAAATTATTAGCAATGATCTAAGATATGGAAATTAATGAAAGGGAGACTAAGAATACCTCTAGTTCTGGAAACACTTTCGTACCCCAGTATAGTGAAATATACTCCACAATGCAATCTGTGTTTATCACACTACATATCTTTTATGTGAGCATCATTGTCATTTTGTCCAAAATAAGTAATCCCGTTCTAAGGTTCAAAAGTAATGTTCCCAAATGATGATGTAAAATACTAATATTAATATTAAATATTTTTCAGATTACGACAAAGCTTTACTCCAGGAGGTATACCCATCCCACTACCCAATGTGTATGACATGACGGGGCTACAGCCTGACGGCAACAACACTTCTGGGGGTGGAATTGAGCCTTACTACTCCATACATTCTCGTCGTAGCACTCGCAGTAAATATGCTTAAGAAAAAACGATAATGCACATGAACATACAAAGGGATTATAAAAAAGTTTCATAAATCTAAGAGTGTAATCATGACACATAAATAAGGGTGAAATACTGTATAAGACTTCATGAACATAGTTTCAGAGTTATAGCACAATAGATAAGGGGATAAAGCAGCTTGATGTGGGGAGCGATACTCGAGGCGCACTCAGCGAGACACCACTAAGTATAGGAAGACTTGCAAGTGAAATGAGCCAGTACCAACCACCCCATTAAAAAGTGCTTGATTTTTAAATAAAATGCACCAACAACATTGGATATTTCATTTTCCCTCCGTAAATTTCCTCACTTTTCAACCTTGTCATTCACGTTGTAACTCTGAAATTATATTATAATTAAAACCTTTGTATATGTATGTATTATACCCATTACTTGTCCAGACAATAAAAGAGAACATTTGTGGTGATAAATTGGCAACTTTCCCTTAATCATTACAGAAATTGTTCCTTGTGGCAGTGACAACACTCTCGTCTCTGGTGAAGAGCTCATCTTCCAGTCTCAGAACTACCCAGATAATTATCCCAATAGCCATACGTGTAGCTGGAGCTTTACGGTGTGTCTTATATTTTTTCTAATGTTGCGCTCTAAATGATATGAGTGAGACTAAACTCACTTGAAGGTTACAGTCCTATATTTATTCTGGGTAATTGTTGGGATTTACCATAAAATGCCTTAAGATTGATCAAGAAAAATATCGTGACCTTGTTTTGCCATAAAGCTTACTGTATTTGCTCAAGTCATCTACTGTATTTGCTCAATTCATCTACTGTATTTGCTCAATTCATCTACCTCGCTTCTCAGGCTTGACATCATCACAGGGCCCTAAACCCCATTCTCAACTGATATCCATATTAATTAAATTAACTTATAAAGTTGCCTTAGTTCAGTTACAGGACAAATGTTTGTTTAAACAACTTTACATGACGTAAATTTACAGGTGTATTACAAATTGAAGGTAATAACTCCGTGACGACTGACCTCGATGTTCGTCATCTTCATCTTCGTCGTCAAACCTTTACTGCCATTTCGCGAGCTTTCGTGGGTTAGCCGTACGGTTACCTGAAGGCTGCTCTCTATGTACCACGGCACCTTGCAGTTTCTCTTTTCAGGTTTTAATCCCAAATGTAATTTCTTGCAATTCTCACTATGGCTCGCCCCTGGCTATACCCCACCCCCTTCCACATTTGGACTCGTGCGACTCATGACCCATTCGGTCTTATCTATTCTGTCCACATGCCCAAACTATCTCAGCCTGCCTTCTATGCAAAACTTTGCCAGTACGCCCAATACCCAGCCACCCTCTTGGTCCTGAACAGAACCTCCAGTCCTTCAGTGTCACATAATACATCCACTTCACCATTCTCATATCAGTTTGATCAAGCCTGCTGATGTCATGTACTTTAACTGCCCATATTTCACTGCTATACAACATCCCATTTTCACATCCTGCTTTTCATGCTGTAAGTGTGTCTTCGGAGATGTTTACATTCCTTTACATATGTATGAGTATGTCAGCATACATGTATACATTGCTCTCCATATACGTATATGTACGTCGATCAAAAAATTATGTGTACCTAGGAGTCGATGAATATCAGAATGAGCACTGCGATTCCTGTTGTCTAACACAATTTTGTGAGGATAAGTGTACGTACAGTACAATACATGTATCAGCATACATTAGATTCTGCGCTGTGTCAACTTTGACTTGGTAAATATCCAAGAGGTGAGATTTACCTTGAACTTTAATCTTTATGTCATACTTTATTGAATCTTTTACAAGTATTGTATGATTGTCTAACAGAATGCCGATCAAAATGCAAAGCTTATTGTGGTTTGTGATCCATTCTCTACCCAAAAGAACAAGGATAAATTGATGTTCGAAGAATCTGGTGGACAAAGTAATGTGGCAGAGCTCCCAAAGTAAGTATCGCAAAATTTCTAGATGATGAAATTTAAAAGATTAAATTATAGCTGTTTCTAAAAATAAAAACAATAAAATATTTGGCCACACAAAAAAAAAAAAAATAAAAATAAATAAATAAATAAATAAATAAATAAGTAAATAAAATAAATTACATTTTAACATAACAGTTAATATTTTCCTGACAGAGTAAGTGGACGGTACAACAGTTTTACGGTCAAGACTACCACGAACAGCTTGACTGTCACTTTTACGACAAGTAGGAAAGATGCCTTTACGGGCTTCAGCTGCACCGTTGCGAGTACAGGTGAGTGTATATCGTCTCCAGTGTGACTATTACCATGGGTGTATATCGTCTCCAGTGTTGACTACTACCATGGGTGTATATCGTCTCCAGTGTTGACTACCACCATGGGTGCATATCGTCTCCAGTGTGACTATTACCATGGGTGTATATCGTCTCCAGTGTTGACTACTACCATGGGTGTATATCGTCTCCAGTGTTGACTACCACCATGGGTGTATATCGTCTCCAGTGTGACTATTACCATGGGTGTATATCGTCTCCAGTGTTGACTACTACCATGGGTGTATATCGTCTCCAGTGTTGACTACCACCATGGGTGTATATCGTCTCCAGTGTGACTATTACCATGGGTGTATATCGTCTCCAGTGTTGACTACTACCATGGGTGTATATCGTCTCCAGTGTTGACTACCACCATGGGTGTATATCGTCTCCAGTGTGACTATTACCATGGGTGTATATCGTCTCCAGTGTTGACTACTACCATGGGTGTATATCGTCTCCAGTGTTGACTACCACCATGGGTGTATATCGTCTTCAGTGTGACTACTACCATGGGTGTATATCGTCTCCACAGTTGACTACTAGCATGGGTGTATATCGTTTCCAGTGTTGACTAATACCATGGGTGTATGTCGTCTCCAGTATTGACTACTATCATGGGTGTATATCGTCTCCAGTGTTGACTACAGTAATACCATGGGTGTATATCGTCTCCAGTGTTTACTACTACCATGGGTGTATATCGTCTCCAGTGTTTACTACTACCATGGGTGTATATCGTCTCCAGTGTGACTATTACCATAATTATTAATATTCTTGGATCTTATAAAACTGAATAATGGATATACTCATTGTTGTGGATCTATCTCGTAAAATCAGCATTAGAGGATACAGATTCCCCAAGAGCTATTTAAAGATCATCATCGGCCAAAGGAAGGCTATAGGTAGAAGGATAAATCGTGGCGAAATTCACCTCCCGGACTATTATAGGGTATTGGCGAGTAGGGTTAAAACCGAGATAAGGAAAGCAAAGAGGAATAATGAGGTAAGGATAGCAAGGGAGGCGAAGACAAACCCCAAAGGATTCTACCAAATGTATCAAACTAAAACAAGAGAAAAGATTGGACCAATACGGTCCGACACCGGCGAGCTCACTGATAACGACAGAGAAATGAGCAATAATTTGAATAAATATTTTTCAACAGTTTTCACCACCGAAAATTTAAACATGATACCCGAGGCACCGACTCTATTCAGAGATAGTGAAGAAAACAAATTAAGCGAGATAGTAGTGACTAGTAACGATGTTAGTAAGCAAATAGACAAACTAAAGCCTAATAAGTCACCTGGTCCCGATGAGATATTTGCCAGAGTATTAAAGGAATGTAAGGAAGAGCTTAGTATGCCCTTAGCAAAGTTGTTTAACATGTCCTTAAAAACAGGTATAGTACCAGAATCCTGGAGGATAGCGAATGTAATACCAATTTTCAAGAAGGGGGATAGATCACTATCCTCTAACTACCGCCCAATCAGTCTAACATCAATAGTAGGCAAATTACTGGAAGCAATCATTTCAAACTCTATTCGAAATCACCTGGAGAAGCACCGATTGATCAATGATTCCCAGCATGGCTTCACAAGCAGACGTTCTTGTCTAACTCATCTATTAACATTCTTTTCATCAGTTTTCGAATCGGTGGACGAGGGGCACAATTATGATGTGGTATATCTCGACTTTAGCAAAGCCTTCGACAGAGTCCCCCACGAAAGACTAATTAGAAAGGTAGAAGCTCATGGCACCAAAGGTAACATCCTTAAATGGATTAGGGCGTGGTTACAGGACAGGAAACAGCGAGTGAGCATTAACGGCACTAAGTCCCATTGGAGCAACGTCACAAGTGGAGTTCCCCATGGCTCAGTACTTGGACCATTATTATTTATTATATACATAAACGACATAGATATCGGCATAGACAGCAACATAAGTAAATTTGCTGATGACACTAAAATAGGACGTGTTATTAAATCTGACGAGGACTCAGCAAAACTACAGGAAGATCTAAACAAATTTTTCGAATGGTCTGAAAAATGGCAGATGAAATTCAACGTGGACAAATGTAAAGTACTCAGTATAGGAGATGTAAACAGGGAAACCAGATACCAGATGAACAACGATGCCATAGAGAAATCCGACTGCGAGAGAGATTTAGGAGTAATGATAAGTAGGAACCTTAAGCCAAGTAAACAATGTGTTTTTGCTCGTAACAAGGCTAATAAAGTACTTGGGTTCATACAAAGGAGTGTTAGTTACAAGACTAGCGAGGTCATCCTAAAACTGTATCTTGCTCTTGTGAGACCACACCTGGATTACGCAGTTCAGTTCTGGTCACCGTATTACAGAATGGATATAGAATCCTTGGAAAGAATTCAGAGGAGAATGACAAGACTAATCCCGGGCATTAGGAACCTTGAGTATAGAGACAGGTTAAAGCATCTTAATTTGCACTCCCTCGAGAGACGTAGAGCGAGGGGCGACCTGATAGAGGTGTACAAGTGGAAGGCAGGGCTAAACAAAGGGGACATTACAAAGGTACTCAAACTATCCAACCAGGAGCGAACTCGTAACAATGGTTTTAAATTAGACAAATTTAGATTTAGGCGGGAAATAGGTAAACACTGGTTTGGAAACAGAGTAGTGGATGAATGGAACAAGTTACCAAATATCATCATTAACTCGAATACGCTGAATAGCTTCAAACATAGGTTGGATGCTTATATGAGCAATAGGGGTTGGGTGTAAACGGGACTGCCCAGTATGGGCCAATAAGCCCGCTGCAGTTTCCTCCATTCTTATGTTCTTATGTTCTTATGATTGACAAGAGAATGGTTGGAGCTATGGGTGAGTGGTAGTGGATTTGTTCTTTAACCTCAGGACATCTGTACTAACGGCAACTATAGTTTTCTTTTCGCTACTTCATATCCAATATGAAAGCTGAAATTTCTCCACAATTTCAATGGTAGAGTGAATGGAAATAAGAATATGCAAACTATTTCCAGTGATAAACACTTTAATGTTAATAATTTATAACTTAATTGGAAAATTTATTTATTGGCGATTATAAAAATGTAAACAGTTTAATCTTCAATATTTTGTAAGATTTTACTTCATTTACTCATATTATGAAAGCACCTTTTAATTCTCTGGTGATTATTTAGCATTACTGCCACCCTCATCAGCTAGTCAATCTATGACACAGTTAATCCAAAATTATCATATACTGTAGTGTCCAGCTACACTATTGTATGAAGTTCTGTATTTTCCTGGTCATTTTGATTTTTTAGTTTTAGGTAAGATAGTCTCCCCACAGGCGGAACAGGGGCAATTTCCTTCACTTCCATTTGTTCGAGTTTCGTCCGTGTAAACATCCAAAGATACACTCATAAGCACTGTTTCTGAATCACATCTGAGTTTTTCAGAATTTCATTGTTAGCAGAAGTATACACCTGTAAACAAATTATTACTTTGAAAATAAATTCACGCTTTTGTTGTAGAGAACCAAGATTCCACCTCCAGCCAGCCCAGCTCAACCACGATGCCCAGCTCGACCACGAAACCCAGCTGTGGTAAGTTCCTTAAAACACTAACCTTAGATCTGTCAGACCCGATGCTTCTCGACGTTCATTTGTTCTATGGGGTTTCCATATGGGATAATGGGTTCCTCTATCAGTTCCTGTTTAGGCATCACCGAGGGCAGGTACGTCACTCTGTGCTCCTATTTTTTTGTGTGTTTTTATGGAGTTTATGTTCGATAGACCCAAGTAGATTCATAGTGTGGGGGGGGGGGATAAATAACCTTCATGTGCTACGACTGAATGGTAGCTCTCTCTGCTTGTCAACAGGAAGCCAATGGTCTGGAGATAATCTAATATTAAGTCTTCTTAGTGAATATATTTGTGTTATGTTGATCAGAGTAATAACTCATTCATATTTTTTCTGCTCTTGTACAGTAACTACTTCCATTTATATTTCCCTTATTTTTTTTCTTAATAGGGTAAAGTAAAGCTTGAAGTATTGACTTTCTTTTTTATAAATTAATTGCATTTTGAATTATTATTTTTTAAAAGTTTCCTTCCCGGGTCAGTTGAACCCGAGGATAGTGAAATCGTTCTGAAAACATGCAGATAGTGTTCTAGAGTTAAAAAACATGAAGGCATACCGATTGGCATATACATAGAGAAGTGGAGGAGTGGTGGAATGTCTAGTACAAACAAAGGATTTCCAAGGATTCTACTTCTTTGACGATATTATCCAAGTACGAAGTGCTGCTAAACACTTTGGCAATAAATATGACAGGGACAGAGTATGAAGCAGCAAGAAGTGAAAACACGGATACAATGGAGGAGATTGTAGAGGTCACCTGTATTATGTCACCAAACAGAAACAATAATGATGCAGACAAGAAAGTTCAGAACAAATCAGGGAAAAATTAATGAGAAATAAACGACTATTATGATTTAAAATCAGGTAAAAGTGCAAAAAGATGGAGCAACTGATGGCAACATTTCAAAAAATTTGGAAAAAAGGATCGTACATAGCAAAATAAAAACAATGAAAACCAAAGTTCTATAAGTGGTCAAGTGAATACTCAGATAGATAATGAATTAGAAATTGGGAAAGGAAAAAAAGAAGATGGGAAGAAAATGAAACGGTTGAACATATACAGAGCTGCAGCATACGAGCAATTAGCGGTAGTAAGGTGATGTTGAGTAAGAGGGATGGAAAAGAACAAGCCAAAAAAGAGGTGAATAAAGGAAATAATAGAACAGTTGGAGAGAAAAGAGAAGTCATGAAGATAAAATAAAGAAACGATTTTTTTAGTCTTTATTATGACAATAATTAACATGTTTATTATGAGTGCTACACTAAATGTGAATGGTCTAAATATAGTTTAAGTAGGCAAGTGCAACTATTATCTATTGCTAGTTATTATAATAATGACATCTTTATAATACAGGAACATAATGTTGAGGATTATATTACCTAAATGATTACTTCCAGATTATTTTGAACAATACACATTTGTTAAAAGAAGAACTGCATTTTTAGTAAGGAAAAATTTCACTTTCAAAATACTAAACTATGAGATGGATGAGAATGGCCAAATTTTATGTGTCAGAGTTTACGTGTTAGACCATATAATTCTCATTAATAATATTTTTGCCCCATCAGGGGATACAAGGAAAAGGGGGAGAGAAAAATAATTTTCTGGTGATTCAATATATCAGGAGTGATATTAAAACTATAATAATTGGAGGGGATTTTAACTGTGTTACCAGCATAAGAGATTATAGCAATCATGAATACAAATGTATGGTGTCCAAAGCTTTAACTTAGGATATTGCCATGATACATAATTATCAACCTGAGTTTACATGGGCTTTACGTTAAGGGGCTTGAGAACAAAAGTGTAAAGTGTATTACTGTTCCAGTCAGTTTTTCTGACCATTCAATGGTTCTGTCAAAAGTAAACATTCGCAAAAAAGTAAAAGTAGGTAAAGTTATCTGGAAACTGATTTGTAGTAATTTTAAGCTCTGATAAGTGCAGGTAAATTTAAGAGTGTTTTGGATAAATGTTAAGGAGAAAATAAGCAGTTACCAGAATATTTTACAGTGGTGGGAACAAAACGCTAAATTAGAATGCAAGAACTTTTTTTTAAATATGTAAACGAATGTCTCAATAAAAATATCGGTTAATTAATTTATTTCAACGTAGGTTAAGAGAGCTTAATGAAAAAGCTAAATACTGTGATGTGAATTATGAAGAAATAAAGTATGGAAAGAGTTGAAACTAAAGATGAATATTGTGAAAATTTTATAGAGAAATCCAAACCAAAACTTAGGGAATCGGAAAATGAAACTTTAATAACACCAGTAAATTACTAGGAAATATGGGATGTATTCAATTATCCGATAATTCTCAACCTTAATAGTTCCCGAGGTGGAAATTTATAGGGGTAGAGATCATTGAGATTATTCAGTTTATCTTTCACGATAAGGTATTAAGTTTGTCACAAAATACAGGAATAGTAAAGCTAGACCCGGCTCCCACACGAGGGTCGACTCACAGAACGAGGGTCTGGCTATACCTTCTTCTGGAAGTGTATGCCTGCTGTGGAGAGGAACCGCATTTATAGACTTGGCTTTGCCATCCACCAATGCATCCTACACAGGCTAACTAAATGCCTGTTGGGATCAACGAGCACTTCATGATGCTCAGAGTCCAACTGAATGACTCACGTCACGCCTTTTTCATTAGTGCATAAGCCCCAACACTGGATACAGAGGATGACATCATTGGGGCCTTTTACGCGAACCTTGACGGAGTACCAACCTCTATCCCAGGAGAAGATAAGGTTGTGATCCTTGGTGACTTCAATGCCAGAGTTGGCAGAGATGCTGATATTTGGCAGGGAACCAAAGGGAGGAATGGTCTAGGCAAGTGTAATTCCAAGTACCTACTCCTCCTCAGCAAGTGTGCTGCACATAAGCTCACTATCACCAATACCTTGCTTAGGCAGGCCGACAGTTTCAAGGGTTCGTGGCAAAACCCACAATAGAAACACTAGCATCTCATTAACTACAACACTGTCAGAGAAAGAAATCGCCGAGATGTCCTCATCACCTGAGCAATGCGTGGCTCAGACCACTGCGACACTGAACATCGGCTCGTCAATGTTAAGCTCTCACTTCACATTGCCCCAAAACGGCGATGGCAACAAGCCTCCAGAAGAGGTGTTAACACGAAGTGTCTGGAGGAACCAGCGGTAGCACATGCTTTCATAGAGCAGCTCGAACATGGACTGATAAACAACCCAAATCTCAGAGCCGAATGGAGTATTTTCGACACGGTTATGGCAAAAACGTGCAGAGACCTTCTGACAGATCAAAAGAATACACCAGGAATGGTTTAATGAAAATGACCCAGAATTCAATGGACTCGTCGAAAATAAACGTGCTGCTTCAACTGACTGTTTCAGACCTTCCACATGAAGAATATCGTGGCCCATGGCAAACTTTGCAAACTAAAGAACGACTGCTTTATAAATAAAGCTTGTGAAAAGCAGATCAACACAGGATAAGCAGATTTTTTAATTCTACTAAAACATTTTATGGGCCAGTCACTCCTGGAAAAAAAAAACTTCGGTAATTCCCTAATTAAAAGAGAAAAAGGCATCCTTCAGCGCTGGAAAGAGCACTACTATTTGCTGCTCAACTGAAACACCGATGTGGATTTCCTGACTACCCAGCAGGTCTTTCAGCATCCAGAGCTGATGCATCTCAGCTATCATCCATCCCTGGTTGAGGTAGCTACTGTATTTATATTATGTATGTTGTATGTATACTATGTACATACCCCATTTATATACATTACATCTCTTGTCAGTACCATGTGGCAATGCCCCTGTTTCATGTCACCACACACTTAGATAATGTGCCTGGTGACATCTGGAAGCTGCTAACGTACCACTTGCCACATGTCGCCTGAGAGGTCAGGGCGAGGTCAGTTGACCCATATAGGAGTGTAGGGACTACGGACGCTTGTAAGAGCACCCTTGTATACTTCCGTCAAATAGAACCTACAGAACTCTACAGGTGTTTATGTTCGCCCCTGTAGTTAGAACTGAATACCCAGAACATCCACATGGTGCAGTGAGTTGATTGATTGGAAATATAAGTGCGTTTGTGTAAAATAAAGCCAGGTAGACCCC